CCCCAGCCCGCCACTATAGCCTTGATTCTTTTTTTTTTTTTTTGGTGCTGGGCATGGATAGATGGTACAGGGCCTCACACATACCAAGCAAGGGTTCTGTCACTGGGCTACATTCCCAGCCCAGCGGTAGCCGCCTCCTCCTCCTCCTCTTCCTCCTCCTTCTTTTTTGGGGATTGAACCCAGGGGCACACGACCACTGAGCCACATCCCCAACCCTATTTTGTATTTCATTTAGAGACGGGGTCTCACTGAGTTGCGTAGAGGGTCACTTTTGCTGAGGTTGGCTTTGAACTCATGATCCTCCTGTCTCAGCCTCCTGAACTGCTAGGATTACAGGTGTGCACCACTGTGCCCCTCTCCAGTTTTGATTATATTGCCTCTTAGTTCTAAGGCCCTGGTTTATGAAGCTGATGAATGCAAGGATCTTGTCATTCTTTTCTGCGTCCTCCGGTCACACAGGATAACATGAAATCATTTGTGATTGAGGGTTAGACTTTTTTTTTTGGTGGGGGTGGGGTGGTATGAAGGATTAAACCCAGGGGCACTTTACCACTGAGCCACATCCCCAGCCCTTTATTATTTTTTCGTTTTGGGACAGGTTCTCACTGAATCTCTTACAGCTCACTAATTTGCTGAGGCTGGCTTTGAACTTGTGATCTTCCTACCTCAACCTCCAGAGTTGCTGGGATTACCAGGTGTGCACCACTGCAACTAGTGGTTAGATTGTTCTTAAAGGCCTTCATTAGCTCTTCCCTGCCCCTGGTAATTCATGTCTACAAAGCCAGAAGACTTTGCTTAGTTAACTTAAAAACCTATTAGATTCACCACAGTTCAGACTTTGCTTTCCTAATCTTTTATGAAAGGTAATAAAATATCACTGACGACATGAAATTGTCTCATCTGGAGCCAAGGAAGTTATGAGGATCATATTTTTGGGAGCAAAATGGGTTATACATGGTGTTTTAGTCATCTTTTGTGTTGCTGTGGCCAAAACACCCGGCAACAGCTTAGAGGAAAAGTTTCTTTGAGGCTCGTAGTTTCATCAGTCCATAGACAGCTGCTGACACCACTGCCCTGGGCCCAAGGAGAGGAAGAACATCATGGGAGAAGGGTCAGTGGAGGAAAGCTGCTGGGGGTGGGGTAGGGAGGGAGATCACAGGCAAGACCCCCCAGTGGCCCTCTCCTCCAGCCACACCCCATCTACCTACAGGTAACACCCAGTCCCTTCAAGCTAGGATGGACTGATTAGATCATAGCTTTTACAGTCCAAGCATCTCCAAACATTCCTGCTTTAACACTGGAGCTGTTGGGGTATCTCATATCCAAACCTTAACACATGGTACGAGACTTTCTAGCTGTGAGCGTGCAAACTTACTAGTTTCACTGTGGGATCCAAATTCGTTTTGTGATTTTAAAATATTTTATTTATTTACTTTTAAAAATCTTTTTCACGGGCTGGGACTGTGGCTCAGTGGTAAAGTGCTTGCCTCAAATGTGTGAGGCACTAGGTGTGCTCTACCACCTAGCTATACCTCCAGCCCTTAATCTTTTTATTTTTTAATTTTTTAGTTTTAGTTGGACACAATACCTTTATTTTAATGTGGTGCTGAAGATCGAACCCAGGGCCTCTCATGCACTAGGCAAGTGTTCTACAGTTGAGCCACAACCCCAGCCCTTAATCTTTTGTTTTTAATGCAAGAGTTGTCTCATAAACCTTTATGGAGCACCAATTGGAGATGGGTCGTCTGGCAATTTTGGAGGAAAGACATATGATTCCTATCCTTTAATTATCTTCTTCCTCCTATATTAGTTCTCTGAATAGTTTTTGTTGGTGCTGGGGATCAAACCCAGGGCTTTGTGCATGCAAGGCAAGCACTCTACAAACTGAGCTTTATCCCCAGCCCTCTGAATAATTTTTAAATGACAAAGTATTTTTATTAAGTAGAAGTAGACCAAAGAAATTTAGAAAAAAATAATTCCCTTAAACAACTAAAAATTTTCTCTGGAAGTTCTCTTTAGGCATGTTCTTTCTTTTGAGGGAATGTAGGGCTGGGTATGTAGCTCAGAGATAGAGTGTTTGCCTAGCATACATGAGCCCTAGGTTTGATCTTCTGTACCATAAAAAAACAAAAAAACCCCCAAAAGACCAAAAGTGCATGTGTCATCTGTAGGATGCTGACTAGCCCTACTTAATGCCCCCTCTTGTTACTCCAGGAGCTTCCTCTGCCCACGTGCCTTCTGATTTTCTTCCGTCTGTTTGCTACCTATTGCCCACTCCTGCCTTGAACCTCGCAGCATCAGGTCCAGAGGCCTTGCGGGGGCAGTGAGGAGGCCCCACTCTACTCTCTGGCGTCCTTTCCCTTTATCTTCCTGTTGTTCCTTTTATTCTCTTCTGATCACTGAGCCACACATACTGAGCTATAAGGTTCTACCCTGCAAACGTGCTGTTTCTCTGTCAAATGTGGCTGGACACCGCAGCTCCATATGGGTCAGGTTAACACTTGCCTTTGCTGCAGATATGATGCTTCTACACACCTCAGCATCTTGCGCTTCCTTTCCTGCTAAGGCTGTCCCCATGTGCGTCACCTGACAAAATCCCACTCCTCCTTGAGCTGTCCCAACATGCACTTTTCCATGAGGCTTTCCTGGTATTCTGGCAGAATTAGTGCTTCTATGTATGGCTCCTCTTATCACTTAGCAGGGGTAGAATTCTCAGTTCTGCTGCAGGATACCCCACAGAAAGGGATCACGTCACATACATCCTCGTGTCCGTTGTACTCCTCTCATACTAACTGTGCCCCCCTCCCCTTTTGTGGTGCCAGGATATGAAGCCAGGGCTTCCCACATGCTAGGCAAGTGCTCTAATGCTGAGCTACATCCCCAACCAACCCTTTGCTTCCTTTTTGAATTTACTAATAATTATGAATAAAAAGCTGCTCGTGTACATGTTTTTAAAATTCTGATGTCATTTATTGGCACAAAAATTATTCAGATACAACATGGTGTCTAGACGTGGCTACATCCTATACTTTGTGCATTTAGTCAAATATTTACGTTGCTCATAATTCTGCACACAACCTAGCCTGTCCCTCTGTGTTCAGCACATCTGTGATAGCATTTGTGTTTTAAACCCTTGCTTCAAACACAGTGCATTCAGATCTCACTGAACATGGGGCCAGCCTGGGACCCA